CGGGAGGCAGCGGAGCAGGGAGGGGGCAGCGCTCACATGAGCCCCGTGAACTGATTGACAAGAGTAGACTTGCTTTAAATGGGCTTAAGAACGACTTTAAGCAGCAGCAGCGTGTAAAACCGTGAATAGCCTCACGCTTGGTTGAGTGAAGTAGGTCAGCTTGAAAGGGTTGCACGGCCCTGGTGTTTGACCCTGGAGCTGTTCAAAGTCCAAAAACCAGATTCTGGGCTGTTTCTAATGCCACAGATGATAAAGAGGAGTTGCTTTAAGGTTTCAAAGTCCATGGGAATAAATACAGCATGTTTCAAAAGTCAGGCGAGTTCAAAGCGTTTTTAAAAGAGGCTGCGGGGAAAAGGGGACAGTTTTGAGACAGCTGAACTGGAGCGAGATACACTCATGGCCAGACACAACAGAGCACCCAGCACCAGCCTTTCGTTGGGAGGGAGAGGGAAGAACAGGCTCCAGGGAGCTGCAGCACAGGTCCCTGCAGCAGCAGCAGTGAGCTGTGCTCCTCTTCCCTGAGGACAAACGTGGCAGAGGAAAAAGAGGAAAGCTGCCTGCAAAGTGGGTCAAGCATGGAATAAGCGCCGCAGGTTCCTCTCAGACAAGGCTCTGCCACGGCCCCCCTTTTCTTTATGAAATAGGAAGGCAGAAGAGAAGCAGTGGCCACTGACCACTCCTGCATCATCTGCTATGCTAAAGAGGGGTTTTCACAGCACGTGTTATGATGAGGTAGGGTGGCAGGGGGTGGGTTTTCCAGCTCCTGATAAAGGCAGTTGGGAGACAGGCTGAAGCCTTCCAGCCCAATCGATCATGCAATTACCAGTTTAAAGAGCACACTCCTCTTTTGACAGCTCGGCACTCGTGGTTTTAAATGCACAATCCAGAAAACAGTTTAGATATTTAATGAAATATTAAAAAACCAACCAAAAAAAAAAAACCAACCAAAACCCTCCATAAAAACCCCCAAAACCCCCCACACTTGTGTTTGGGGGAAATTGGTCAGGAAGGTGTATACAGAAGTCAACAAGACCACCAAACTGCAAAGGGTTAGATTGATTTATAGTCCCACGCAACAAATGAGCATCTGCAAAATGGACATTCTCTGCCTGCACGTTTTCACCCTGGATGCTCACCCCAAATCGTGCTGCTCCTCTTCCATGCCCAGGCGGGCAGTAGGTGGCATGACACAGCCGTCTGCAAGGTCACACTCACAAAGTGCGCCTGGTTCGAAGCCATCAGAACATGCCCCTGTTGGTTTTATTTCCGTTGATGTTTTGCAAACCAAAGCCTTGAGAGCTTCACCACAGCCTGATGAACGAGCCAACAAGACAACCTCTGGTTCAGGGCTCATCTACCATAACCCTGTAAGACGCTGCTGTGAACACTGACATAACATCTGGGGCGACCATGGTCCCCCCTCCACAAAGCAGCACCAGCCCAGATGTGGCTTCTCCTGCCCTAGTCCACAAAACTTCCAAGACTGGGTATTCTGCAGCCTTGCCAGTGCCCTCCATTCCAAAAGCTGCTATGTCCAACCTGGTCCTATACATTAGTTAATTATGTACATATAATATTTAGGTGCTATTAGTGATTTACACACCGGTTTAATCTTCATCCAGAGCAGTTGTGTTCACCATAAAGTAATTAAGAGATTGAGAGCTGTAGTTCAACCCATCTTAAAGAACAAAGCTTTTAAGCCACAGCACAGGTTTTAAAGGCTAAAACATGCAGGACTGCTTAATTTAAACCCAGAAGTGTTGTTTCAGCCCTTTTTTCCCTGTATATATGCCAAAGAACTCTGGTCCCTTGCTCAAGAGAGCAGCTCGCCTTTATTCTCATCCAAAAGCAGCAGAGCCAAATGAATTAGAGCACTGAAATAACTTCTTAGCAAACCACAGAAGCTGACTCATGAGGTGCTTACTCTGCAGGGCTGTTCCAGTGTATTCCTGAGGACTGCAAGGTTTCCACAGAGCCCAGTGGCATTTTTACTTAACTCTTTACCCATTTCCAACCTCCTCCTGGAGCCTGCAGAGAACTAATACTCGGTGTAGCACACACAAGGCACCCTCCACATTCTGCAGGACTTCAGAAGCCACTGCTCCATCCAAAACCTAAGCTCAGAGAAACCATGGAAAGGGTTGTCAAAAGCATGGAATGCTAAAAAGCCATTTCGCTTGTGTAAAACTTCACTTTCACCTATCCAAACCCCCCTAAAAATATATCTTGAGAGGAAGCAGTGACAATGGAACTTCACTGTCACCTTCCAGTGATTGAATTTGGAGCAGTATTTAACTTGAGATTACCAAAGTGTGAGTTGTTCACACTTGCTTCTTTTTACAGACCACTCTTCCTGATGAACAAGAGCATTTATCCTTCTACTCCTTAGGCCACAGCTCCCTCCATGGCAGGAACTGTGCTCCAGCATTACTAAGGAAACAAAGATGAAGGGGTGAAAGGGGAAAGACAGAGGAATGTGTTTACTGAACTATGCAAGGCGGCCCAAAATAAACCTAGCACTTGCCTAACAGCTTTTGGTTGATACTGTACATAAGGAAATCCCTTACCTTGGAGATTCAGGTGGAATTTCTAAGTTGCCAAAGCAAAGACACAATGACTTCATGATTTCAGTGTTTGAGTTCACAACTATAAAAGAGAACTTCCCCTCACACGGAGCATGGAAGCAAATGTCAGCAGCTGGAAACAATGTGCCACGAGGAGGAGGTGACAAACACATGCGGTGCTTTACGTTGGAGGGAAGGGCCACTACACACCCAGCACTGGCTGCCCATCAGTGCACAGAACAGGCAGGGGACAGCGGTACAGAGAGCATGAAGGCAAATCTCTGCACTTCAAACTGCTCTCGTTTTTCCCCTTTCGAAACCAGTTCCTGAGTGTTTCCCTGTGTAGGTGTTCAACTGTGTCTTGATTTCGACCCAACAACCCCTTAGTTCAGAAGGGGCCTCTACAAGTGAAGGGCGCTCACTTCAATCTGCTACACAAATCCAGATGAGTGGCTAAATGACAGGACATCAAGTGTGACTCAAGTATAACACAGTATCCGTCCAACCAAAGGATTCTACTGACTCTATCCAAATTCTGAGAAACAGAAGAGGAAGTTTCTGCTGCTGGTGACCAATCTCCACCAGAACAACAATTTTTTGTTCACAACCTCATTGAAATCTTCCAATGGCCAGTCCCAGCCATCAGTTAGGGGGGAAAGCACAAGAACTGGGGTTACTTGCTACCTTTTCCAATGTCTTTACTAACAGCTGCTCACATTTGTGTACAGAAACTGAACAAAGAGACTGCTCCCACCCAAAGCAGGAAGAATCATGCCCACTGGAGTGACAGGGAACACAGAAACCAGGGCAGAGTCACTACTCTGGGAGGAAAGGTGTCAGTTAAGGCACAAACTTCTGCCTACAAAACCACTTGCAGAGAGTGGCAAATGAAGGGAATTTGAAGGGAACTATTCTCTACAGCAAACAGTGATCAAAGCAAAAGTTCCTGACACACTAAAAGAAGACACTTCAGATGCGCTTATTTTTAGGACACACTTCTTCCTGTAAGAGATCAAACTGCAGAGGAGCAAGCGCTCTCCAGAAGCCATGTGGAACCCAACCTCCAGGACAAGGCTGAATTCTTGCTGAAGGAAAAGAGCAACCACTCAAGCCTTTCAGAGAAGGGATGAAGTGATGCTTGGTGAAATCCAGCACCTTCTTTGCAAGACAGACAATTCAGCAGTTCTCCAAAGGCAAGAAAGCCCCCCAAAGCGTGCCTAGGACTATATATGTTTGCAAAAACCACGTAGTACTTGCAAAATATCTGTAGTGTCCCTTGGAAGCAAGCAGTGTAAATAACAAAAACATTCCATGTGGTGTAAATGACTACACTGTGCCCAAGGAATTTAAAGTCTCGTAATATTAAGAGTCCTCTATTAAAACAAGTCAGACACATCTTAAGACAGGGCCAATAAGTTCCAAGCACAAGCCTTAAGATGGCATAAAATCTGAATTTCAGGATTCAAATTCTGGAACAAGTCAGTATCAAGGAACTATTTTTACAGAAGTGAACAGAAACCACACCCCGCAGGTTTTCGGGATGGAGCTTGGGCAACACACGTAGTACTACATTTCAAGTTACTTCCTTTAGTATTTAGAAAACTGGTTTTATTCTCAGTTTTTCAGAAAATGAACTGAAGTGTATTAGTACCTACACTGTAAACGAGTCAAACTTAGACTGACACTTGAGTAAAGCCAGGCTCCATGAATTCAGCGATCCTCTGTCTTCCATTTCTGAGTACTTCGGCAGAGCAGGAACAGGCGGCTCCGCTCTCAGCTGCACGAGGCCACAGGAGCAGGCACCTCCCTGGCACCAGAGTTCAGACACAGTTCTCCAGCACACTGCAGTCACCTCACTTTTAGCTAGGGTGGAAATTCCTATGCAAGTTTCTAAGCCCCATCCAGCTACATCATGTCAGTTTATTAAGCCAGAGCTGACCTGAGATGGAATTAGGATGTGACATGTTTCCATACTTAGTTCACAAGTTTATTATGAAAAACACTGCAGCTCTGTCCTGCAGTCACATTGTTTTACAGAAAAAAACAGTTCTGTTCAAAGTAATTCACTATCCTTGGACAATTACAAGGGACAATATGGAAGGGCCAAGAGTGGAAAAGGGAACTGAGTGCAGACAAAAAAAAAGAAAATCAAATACAATTAAATTAAACAGTATTCCCTGAAAATAAAACCAACAGTTTCAGAACAAATATGAGGCCTTGGTACTTACTTTAAAAATGTTCTTTAAGCTTCAATGATTGTTTGCTGCTACCCTTATCTACAGTCATGCTGAATAAAGCTAGAGCTAAATGGAAAGTTAAATGTATTCACGAGGTGTTAATGTCTACATCTTATTATTTGCAGTCTCTCAGAGAAAGCAAAAGTAACTACAAATAGCGCTATGCCAGAAACTGCTTTCTTGACCAACAATGTTGCTTCAGCATGCAATGAACTGGTTCATTCTAAAGTGGTCACAGTTGTTGACGACAAGAGGCTTTGTATTTGAATATGGCACGTCTTTTGGTCCATGTGAAAACAAGTTTGAATGTTAAATATTTTCTGACACTTTGGAGTTACTGTTGCTCTTCCCATTTTCTTTAGGTCAACATACGGTTCATGGCAATACTGTACAGGGCTAAAATCTCTTTACAGGAAGTAGTCTGGGGTGCGACGAGTCACATGCGGTTCACCTCTGCGCGGCGCCGGATCGAACTGCAAGCTGAAAAGCACAGCTATTAACGACCCTGCAAGAGCTCCTCTTACATTCAGGTATGTTTTACGTGTCACTTAGAGTAGCAGTGGCCTTAATGCAGGTTTTCAACCAATTCAAGTCTTCTAGAGTAAGTGTTCAACCTTCCACACCTTCTATCAGTAGGTATTTATATCCCCCCTATTTTAAATGCTTCTTATGATTACTACAAAGGACTGGAGAGAAATGAATCTTAGCGTTAACATTCAAACTGGTCAAACATTACTATGTATTTAGAAAGTTGAACTCGCCAGTAACTGTCAAAGGGGGCAGTTTACTCAATGCTTTTGCCTCATTTACTAGTGAAGTTGCTGCCGAGATAGTTATTTAGAAACCTCATTAAAAAAGCCGACATCCTGGCACCTGAGGAGTTCAAACATTCCACAAGTCAGGACGTCACCTCAGGTGTGACAGAGCACTCCTACTCTCAAGTCACATACTTTCATTAAGCTCCACTTCCACAAAACAAAACCAGGGAGTCCCACTTTAATCTGACAGATGTGACTAACCCAACAACTCCACATTCTCTTCACCTCCCAAAAGCATATAGGGAAAAAACCCAAGCTTAACACAATCATTAAGTAGTATCTTAAAATCATGAACGATGGAATTCTCCTTTTTAAGCATACTTACAAGGAGTATTTTAGAGTATCATCAAGTTCCATGATTGCAGCCTGGTTGCCACAGCGGTAACAATAATTTGGAGCGCTGAAAATCGTTACTACATTTCGGTCATGGCACCAGTTGTACCCCTGGAGAGGGAAAGAAAGGCAATGATGACAGCCAAGTTCAGCTGTGGTACCCACCCCATATAACCACCTGACTACTAACTAGATTTCTACGTGCAAAACCCCAAGTAGCATTTGTAGGGTCATGTGAAATAAGATGAAAGCTGTATCTTTGTCTTCTTGAAAGAAAAGAGTTGTGGCCTTCCTGTGTTGCTTCTTACTAGTAAGCAAGAACTAAACCTGTTACAAATAATGCACATTTCTGTGCGTTTTCCTATTAAGAGACTCAACATTTATGTTTGGGAACCTTTTTATCTACAAAGAAATGCAACACAACATCTGCTACTAAAGTCTATTTTGGGATGTTACTGTAAATTTTCAGAACAGAGGCCAAAATAAAGGGTACTCCACTGTCATATTGAGAAACTCCCTTAGCAGCACGTGAGTACTGTCAAAGGAGAGTTTCTGGAAGCCTCTCAGCTGGATCAGCAACTGTGACAGCAGCATATGCACATCTCTGACACACAGTACAGTATTAATGGAGAGCTCTGCAATCAGAAGTTGAAACACCCAGGCTGTCCTGCTTACCTCCATTACCAACTGATGAGCTCTCGAAACCAACGTAAGGCCATTAGCATGGTTAAAGGTTTCCGAAATATCCTGTCCAAACGTATAACCTGCACCTCGAGGAGAAATGCCCCAGCCACCACGATCATCTGGGTCTGACCATAGCAAGTCACACATTGGACCCTGCAAGAGACACACAAGATGTTTCAGGAACAGAATGCAAAAAACCAAACCCAGAAAACACCTGCACACACACCACCCCTGCACAACCAGGGCATTTAACACTTTAAATACTGCCAAGAAGTTGACCTGAATGAAGACTATTCATAGAAGCAGTCCTCACCTCCAAAATCATTCAGTTGTACCTGCTGTGATTCCAGGCACACTACAATACGTGTCTTTCTTTAGGCAAGAACGTGCCCCTTCACAAAACTACAACAGGAAGATGGGCACTTTCATCCTGCTCAGTTGTTGTGAATTTCATTTCCAGCCCAAGCACTCAAACACCCAACATGTGCTGAATCATGGATCCCACCGGTTTATACACCTCTCTTTCAGTACCTCATGGGGAACTTCCTGCAAGCGATCAAGTGCTCTGATGTGATCCAGTGTATCTATCGATGGAGAGAGGCCACCGTGTAGACAGAAAATCTGCAACAGTGAGATATAATGAATGTGAATGACTGGGAAACACTTCATGTGTCAGTACCATTACAATTGTTTAGTGCAACGAGGAAAAAACATGCAAGAGACTCCTTTAAAGCTGAGAGGTGATAGACTACAGCATAAACGGCTCCTTTTACAACTAGAAACATTTAACACTATCAAAACCCAACGTACCTGGCCATCCACCAAGGCAGTTAGAGGCAGGTAATCAAAAAGGTCTGTGAAGTATTTCCAAACATTTGCATTTCCGTATTTTCTTAAACATTCATCATAGAAACCATATACTTGTGTGATTTGCCTGCTTTCGTGGTTCCCTCGGAGAATTGTGATGCGTTCACGGTATCGGACCTAAACAAAACCCCTTACTTTAGAAGCAGTAAATACATGTGTCTTCCCAAAAACCCCACAAAACCATTTGCACCCCTCACCCCCCATCACATGTCAATAAAGCAGTGAAGCCCAAACCCTTTTCAAGATGAAAATTCAGTTATAACCTTTGAGAAAAGACGGGATCATTCATTCAACTCTTCAGCTGCCAAATACTTTGGAGATTAATTCCAAATGTTATTCCTTGTTACGAGGGGACTTCACTACATCTGTGCATTAAGATGATCTCCCCAAGGGAATTATTAAAGATTGCTACTTAGGCAAGTAAAAAGAAATACAGCACTAACTGAACCTCTCAGAAGCATCTTAGAAAACCAAGACAGCCAACACTTCAGTTTCTATATGTAATGCCAGTGTAGTGCAAATCCGAACAGATATTAAGCACAGTCAGGACAGTAAATACGTACATTTGTATACAGAATCATACAGCCCAGCAGAAAAGTTACCTTAAGAGCTACAAGCAATGTGACTGTTTCGACTGAATAATAGCCTCTGTCAACATAGTCCCCCATAAACAAATAGTTTGTGTCTGGTGATTTGCCTCCGATTCTGAACAGTTCCATGAGGTCGTGAAATTGGCCGTGGACATCCCCACAGACTGTGACGGGACATCGCACCTCCTGTACGTTCGACTCCTTTGTCAGGATTTCTTTAGCCTGGAAAACAAAACACACACACCTATGGTGAACCTGGCTGTGAACAGTCATTTCATTCAAGGTGTGCTCCACCACTCTACCACTTGCTCTCTTTATGAGCTCTTGGCCCTTCTCTGAAGCACTCGAGATAAGAGTTTAGTTAAAATGACATTTTGTTTTATGCAACCCTCTATTAGCAGCAGCAATTTGGTTTGGTGTTTTTTCCCCTCCTTGAAGAGGGTATTTCAGAATTGGTTTCCAGCATAAGACAAACTTTCTACACAAATGGTTCCATGAAGCCTAAACCAATGATCACCACTGATCCAACAGTCCATAGGGATTTGGAAACTAAATCTAAAGCTCATGCCAGTCTTATCTCCAATTCAAAGCCTGAATTGGACATGGCCGAAACCAAGGCTCTCCCTTGGGGATGTAAGCACAGCACAAGCTTTCTGAACAAGTTCTGTGTTTGTGTCTTTACGAACCGAAGGAGGGAAACATCTTCGTCATCACCACTTTCTCTCACAAAATTCTGTATGCAGAAGTTGCAGACAAAGGCAATTCATGCGAAGAACAAACTAAACATAGCATCAGAAAGGTAATTTTGAAATCCCCAGAATTCCTCAATCATCCCATCACACTGCCAGTTGCTGCAGCTTGTTCTCAGCACAGCCACCAAACACATGCCACCATAATTTTCTAAATCAAGAGGCTATTAGAAATATAAATAGTAACAAGTTTACAAGTTACATCTACAAAGATTTCCATCCCTTTCGACTGCCAGTGCTCCTGTTCAGACAGGCTCCCTTTTCTGCCTCACTACCAGAATGACAAGAGAATATACAAAAAGTGGGTGTCCATTTTATAACCCAAGATTTGCAGAGACAGCACCAAATACCACCTATGTGCACACCACACCAGATCGAAAATGTTCTGAAGCACGTATCAGATGGAAGAACACCACCACATTCATTTTAGGGTCACTGAACTTTCTCAAACCTAACCCAACAACTGAAGCAGAGTACTCATTTTTGGGGGTTCTGCTAAGCAAAGTATTTTGAGACAACAGGAAAAAAAAACAAATCACCATAATCCAAAGAGCATCAGATTTTAAAAGGATAGGAAAAACATTTGAAGTTAAGATCTAAACAGCGTATTGAATACTGGGTATTGACATGAGCCAAGCCCTTAAGGAACATGCCGTGTCCAACTTTCCACCCTCTTCATGAAGCCATTAGCTGGACAGTGGCTGATGCTCCCACCCCCAGAAGAGGTCTCCCTGTTGCTGCACACTGTCCAGGCTAACCACCACAGTCACCACTTCAAACCAGAGGAGCACCAGCCACACACAGTTTAATGATGGGGGGCAGGAAACTCAGTGTTTCATTCAGCACTGGAAAGAAATGCAAAAATGCAACTGTGGTTTAGCACCCTGCACAGTACAGAGCTTCAGATATTACAGCATGAGCAGCAGAGTTAAATCACTCCGCAGACGTATTTACATCAAAAGTCAATCTCATGTGACAGTTTCCACTCATGCCGTGCCTAGTACTAAAGATAGGTCATTGCTGCCTTGTGGTGGATGCTAAAAGTGTACATTTATTTTAAGATAGCCTGACTTAAGTTCATTTTTATGCAGTGACACTCACCGGATGTTTTGAAGGTGTTTTAACAGCTTTCACCTCTTCTAACACGCTATTACATTCAGAAGCTTTAACCACCTCAATTCTCCTTTTGACAGAGAATGTTGCAGATGCTGATAGTGCTTCAACATGAAAACCCTCCCCTGTAATTAGGATGCTTTCTACTGCTGTGTTTTGTTAACGCAGGGGAAGCACTGCACAAGGAATGCAGCATTCATTTTTCATCAAAGGCATGCAGCGTTTGTGCTGACTGAGATTTAACTGGCACCGTTCTCAGCAACGGAGCTGTTGCTTCCTCAGTTTCCTCTGAAACATTAAATCACTGAGATACGCATATGACCAAACACCGAGGTAAGGCAGACAGCTACTCTGATGGATAAAGACTGTTCCAGGTCAACCTGCAAAACAGTGGTCTCCATTAAATCCTGCAGTGGGGGAATGCTGAGGCAGGGATTTCAGCATTTCCATGTTCTGAAACAAGTTTCATGGAATACCGTGTTACAAACTTAGGTCTTGTAGCATTAACAGTGGCACATGCTGACATGCTTAAGCAGTATATTTGCCTCTACCAAAGAGCTTCAGCAGAGCTGGAAGTGGAAAAAATAACACCCTGAAAACAAGCCACCGCCAAGTGGCTCATGAACCATACCCACATGTCCACACTGCATCAATTCCTATGAAATTGCTACTTCCTCAGCCATACAACTCCATCCTCTTCCCCAGCAAACTGGGCTTCCCACCAGGAGCTCTCCTACACTTCCTCACCAAGAGGAATCAGCAGAGCATTTTTCAGCAGCCTTCAGTACAGAACACATCTTGATCAAACCACCTGATGAAGCAGAACTAAAAGAGAGGCGCACCCCCCCCCCGATTCCTTGTACTTCAAAACCCCAGTGACCTATTGCCACAATGGATAATAGTGCAACACTTTGCAGTATTTTGCCATCAGCATTTTGAAACATCCAGGTTTCATTGCCTGCCACCAAGATAAACAATTACGCAATTCTGAAACAGATTTTTCTTGAACTCTTACTAGGGCTTTCATTTCTAAGTCTTTCTTTTCAGTTCTTCACAATTCTTAACATTAAGACAGCCGTGAGCTTCTGTATGTCTTCAGTCCTAAGCACCCCACATCACAGAAAGTTTAACTTGTGGTGGCATTGTTATTTAAAATAGATTAACTTAAGCAAAACCTTGGTATCACAGCCAACTGCATTACAGTTCAGACCCTACCTCCACATCAGCTGAACTGTTTATTCAGCACTATACACTCCCGACTTCCAAAATCAAGTGCAAATGGATACAGATTAAGACTGAAAAGAACCCATTACCTCAAATTACTAAAAGCTGATTTTACAACCAAGCACCAATAAAGTCCAAGGCAGAAAAACCACGTAGCTATCAGACATGGTTGCACAAGATCTTAAGAACTAAGAAAATGCTGTCATAGACAACAACTGCTGAGGTGGAAAGTCACGTATTTTACTTAGTGCAACCTCACCATTCACACAAGAAGCACATATCAAGTACACTTCAGCTTAGTCATAGTGACTGGAATTCATTCAAAAAATTGGCTTGCTCAGCTGTTTTGCTGGACGGAGGCAACTTGTACCATCCGAAAACACCCAAAAGACAACCAGAGTAAAACCAGTACTGGGTTATACACATACAAACCAACAATTTTTCTCTTTATTGTAAAGCAAGTGGCTGGTTTTTAAGAATTAAAACATTCTCGACTGCTCCACATCTCCACGGCCACATGAACAGTAACGCACTGTTCTGTTGCCTCTGTTTACAAAGCACATCCATGCAAAACACTGTTCTTAAAATACAAAGATTAGCTTCATTGTTTTAGGACAATGCAAGATCCAAGTGTAAACTCTGCATTTTATAATGAACAGTCAGGGCCATGAATTAAAAACCCTGTATGACAATTATAGCTACCGTATGATTTTCAGATCTCCACAATGAGATGCAGGGGCTGTATGCCTGCAGAGGTATCTCCCATTTCCCTGGTTCCCTGTATGCATCTTCATCCTGTATGCCACAGATTAAGGCTCTGAGTCAAACGCCATGTAAACTATAATCCACCCATTCTCTCTCCGAACTCACTCTACGCTGAGGCCAGGCAAGTCTCCCTCATGAGCAGAGCACATCACCAACCCTGCCCAACAGAACTCATTTCAAGTGGTCCATTTCTAAAAAAAACCCTATGAATCCATCTGTACCCAAATTCCCTTGTGTTTCCAGAACATACCAGAAGGTTCTCAATTACTCCAACCGTTTCTTAGAGCCATACATTCTAGCAGGAGCTCTGCCAACTCAAACGAAGTATCAACCCTGAAAAAGATTACTACTAACTCAGTAAAGGAAATACAACCATTAGTTTAACTTGACAACACAGCTCCGAAGTCATGCCTGCAGATGGTACCATGTCATTCTTGGCAGACCAGAATTCACACCTGCAGCCCACCACGCTGTCTAGTAAAAGTGTGTGTGAAGAAGCATCCACTGTAACCAAGGAAAATAATGGGTATTTGTAGTTACCATAAAGATGTTTCAGTGAGATCTAAGACGTAAATCATACCCATAATTTCCTGTCGTCAAGAGGCACAGGATGTGACTAAAGGCACAATGATCAGCTAATTGGGATGAATACTGGCTTTAGCTGGCCTAACATTGTGGCCAGGAAGAGATTCCAGTTCCAAGCAGAGTCATCCATTACAATCAGCAAGTCTTCTGCAGAGTGAAAGCATTCACTTCCTTCAATGTAAGGGTTTCCCCCACTCTCTACTTGCAGAGGAAAGCGAACACGTTCAGACAAAAGACAGGCTCACCCTTTTTAGAGCAAAAGGGATTCTCATTCATTGTCTGACATTTTAAACAAAACTTGAGAGGTAAGGCCTCCAAACCCACCCTTCTATGATGAAGGTACGAGGCACATACATGTCACACAAATGGGAAACCAATTCATGCTGAGCTTTGGAATCCACTGAGGAGTTCACTGTGAATGGAGAAGTAGGAATAAAATTCCAATACAAGGCTCTCCAATGACATTTAATTATTTAGTACCCCAAGTAAGTAAATCGAGGATTTCCATCCACATAGAAGCCACCACAGCAGCAAAATACTCTTTTCCCAGGACTGAAGGAGAAGATAAAGTACCTGCTTCCTCTCTTGTTTGTGACTAGCACCTACATCTCTGTTCCTAAACCCTTTCATTACCAGCAATGCTGCAGGTTTAGAATTCAGTGAAGGAAAACCAGACACACCTGGTCAGTCACAGCACAGCTCCTGAGAACACACATGTCACAGTGTGGTTGTAACCCACCTTTGAGCCTTCATGTTCTTGGGACAGGGCACGTAGAACTAACAAAT